AAACTGACACGCTTTTTTTCTGCAATTTAATCAGGATTATATGCTAATAGAAGAGCACATAATTTAATTCCTAGTTTAATTCCATGAAAGCATCCAACTTATCCGAGAAGAATAAAATTGTCAATTCTATTATTGGCAGCGACGAAGACCAGTTGAGATAGAAGTAATATGTTCGAAAGATTTATGACATTTATGTTTAGGGTTAGTATATATGTGACAGTTTCAATTGCTAAAGAATTACCCAAAACAAAAAATATGGATCAACTTTTTTTGGGGCAAAACTAATTCCTAGTACTTCAAATTTGCTTTGAAATTATCAATTTCTCAACACATTTATAAGAATACCTATCTTTGGAGAGCATACGATTTCTAATAAAATAAAATATACAGGGTGTTCCTAAGTATGATGTAAATACGGAAGGAGCTTACTCTAAGACTAAAAGTTCATATAAATATAAGTCCGCAAACATTTCGTGACTGGCCTACAGGGTTTTATAATTTTACCGTACACGATACACCTTACCATTTAAAGCTTTAATTTATAAACACTTGCAAATACAAGATACAATTTCAAATGAGAACTGTCAAAACTAATAGACACAAGAGATTATCCAAACACAACCAAGACCTAGGGGCCATTTTAAAAATTTTGCTATCGAAAATTGATTTTTTTATTCTTATCTTATAATCTACCAGTGGTTCAGGGGTAGAAAATGGAACATGGCCACTGAAAAAACAATACCCTGTAAATTCTCACTACTATTGACATGCCAAATTGACGTAAGCGGTTCAGCGAAACTTATACTTCAAATTTGAACAAAATATTTCAACCCGAGTTTCAACCACTTCGGGGGATATAAAAAAAACAAAAAATCTTGACATTTTAACACCATGTAGATCAGTAACGAAGTGTTTGCGGGCCTATGTTTATATGAAATATTCCAAAACCCGTAGTATGAGCGTCCAACGGCCGATCTTTGACGTTTATTTTATTTTTAATTTATCTGGTGGATATCCTGCTGTGTGAATATAATTGTTTCCATGAAAACGGTAAGATGAAAGGACGGCCGTAAGTCATAGTTTATTCTTTTGTTCACAGTTTTGGTGTTATATATGCTCGAGTGTATAAGAAACAAAGGGAAAGAAACAAAACGTATAGAAACAGCCCGATTTAAGAAAAAAAATTTTTGAGAATGCAGTTTTAGAAATCATCGGTTTAAAGAAATTGTGGCCTACTTCTTTGAAAGGGAATGGGTAGAGTCGTGCATCAATTAGTAAACACGCAAATATTTCTTAATTTTTTGGCTGAAAAGCGTTTATTGTGTAATGTTATGCCGCAAAAATTAGCTTATAGTTGTTTTTTTATGACAGTGTTTTGTTTACAATCGGACCCATTATTTCTCACGTTAAATATGTGCATATGTAGCAAACTCACAATCGGCATTCAAAAATAAGTCATTAAAACGCACCTTACTTATTTTTGAAAGGATTTGTACCTACATCTTCTTCTACCTATTACCGCACGAGTTTGTTACTTGGACTTGGGTTTTTATACATTTTTTTAAAATTAGGAATCGCTAAGAAGATTAGGTAAATATGTTCGATGATGCCCCAATGCGACGGCTATCCCTGTTCGCCAGGAACGTCTAAGGAAGCACCAAAGTGTTTCGTGACAAGTGCCAATAGATCTTTCGATCCCAATGTATTTTTTACGTTCTCCAGCTATACTATTATTGTTTGCTATAAAATACCGCAAAAAAGGCCGAGGTAAAAGCGGGAAAGAAATTGGCCCGTGTGTTATTGGGTCGCCGTTTTGAAACGGCTCAGTGACTCAGCAGACCAATACTTTTTTAACCAATTTACTCGGCGACCGTATTTACTGCCAAGTTCGACCTGAAACGCGCAGCGCACTTGAACCCCGGACTCCAACCCCACTTGACCATGATGATGAACCGTGGTATTATTTTAAAATGAATCTGAAATTTCCCAACTTTTAAAATACCAGAAAATGGGGCATAATTATCTTTAATCATGATACAGCACATCTTCTGCATCACACTTAAAGACAATTCTCTATGAGCAGCTGGCTAGCTGAATACCGAACACCATATCAAGTCAGTAGATCAAAAATGTCTGTGAGTGACAATCGGATTAGTTTTGCGGATCAAATTATGAATACTTGCGTTAATCTGATTTGTGATCAGCATCGACTTTGTGGTTCAATGGTAGAGCGTTGGGCTATAAAGTCGGAGGTCCGGTGTTCGAACCTGGACTGAGGTAAGAATTTTTCATCTGTGACAGAGATGTGAATTACCTCTTAGATCAGTTTCGAGCATTCTGCCGGCTACTCCGAATTAGGTTTTCCTGCAGTTTTTCTAATTCATAGGGTAAATACCGGAGTAGTATAGAACAACTTAAAACTTTCCGCAGAGGTACCTCTGAAAAGCATTACGCGGGTCACTCTGTAATTGGGCGCAAGCCTGTTGAGAGCCCAGAACAAGAGAGGCATAATAAATAAATAAATAAAAAGCAGGTCAATAGTTCGACTTACAGACCTTATAATCCCTACATCACTCTCCTGACTTGAAGAACCGCCGCACCGGCGCGATTTGCTAAGGTGTGTACGAGGGTGTGTATTTCACGCATGACCTTTAACACGCATAACAGCATAACACTAATTACTCGTAGATATCGCTATATCTGTGACTACTAAACCCTGTAGGAATTTTAATTCAAGTTGGTTTGCGCAAGCGCCAAACTTACCGTCAGATTTTCTTCTCGTTTTCTGACTGTTGGAGATAAATTGACAGGAAATTGAATTTTCTAACATGTCCTCTATAAAGGACTTTTCAAAATTTAATGGTTTAGAAGTAGAATAATTAATGAAAGTATCTTTTTTTCCCAAAATGGTACTCTTCTGGAGCGTGTGAATCGTGAAATCGGTCCAAATTCGTAAACTGTACAAAATAAAATTTGTGGAGCATTTGCATTGGATTTCATTGGATTATCAAAATTTTTCCCCTACAGCGGCGGCCCGTTTTCGAGATATTAGCGAAAAAATTATCAAAGTCCTCGTGTGAGATCGAAGGGACTTCAGCGCATTTTTGTGTGGCAGATCAGTATTCTATTAGCCACTTTTGACGCAACCATAAATAAAAGATCTTGTCGAAGGATACCACATTCCCTTTGACGGTACCCACTTCCGACGTCCCGTTCACCCGCAATTCGCGATTGAAGATTTGATTCCACCATCAGTAAGATCATGTCGGGGACTACCACATTCCCTTTGACGGTACCCACTTCCGACGTCCCGTTCACCCGCAATTCGCGTTTGAAGATTTTTCTCCACCATCAGTTAGATCTTGTCGGAGGCTACCACATTTCCTTTTTCGGTGCATACACCCACATTTTGGTGGATCTCGCTAAAAACCTTCCACAAGATAGTACTTAATTTTTGGGGGGCACTTCTCATTGCTCGAGCTTCTATTGGCAACACGAGAAAGAGAGACAGCCATTCGAGATTTACGAAACGTTAAAACGCGTGACAGAATTCGCAACGGAAGGTAAAAGGTGCCCGAAGTTGACTACCTCTCGAAGACGCGCGCGCGCGCCATGCAAAAGGTCGTTAAGTTCGCCCCTAGGCCAAAAAACAAAATTCCGCCACGCAGGAGTTGTACGCGTTTACAACATCTTTCCGACCACACCAATTTGAAAAGAATCGGACCAAAACTGTAGTAGAAGATAGGAAAAAACTGAAAAACCTTCACGTTAGTATAGGTACTACGCTCGAGGAGGACGCCCAGATGTCGCCAACCCCACATCATGTAGCCATGTCCCTAAGGTTGACAAATTTCACGGCCTTGTAGATACTCGTACACCCGTTGCCTTTCTACAAGAGTTCTTCTACGCGCCCACATTTGCAGCCAGCCAGCCAGCCAGCCAGCCAACGTGAGATTAAAAGCTACTTTTTACAAATAAATTTGCAAAAATGCGCTAAAAAGAATAAAACCTATGTCGGCTGTCTCACCTGTAATATTTATTTTCTGATGCTCCTAAATAAGATAAAAAGGTTCCAACTTACGCATCACTGTACACTCTCTTTTTCAGCACACTTTAATGGAGTATTTGTGAATACACCGAGGTCGATTTATAAAACCAAATCGGCGCGAAGTGATAGTGAAACTACAGATGATTTCGGAATGAGTTCGACTTTAATAGAAAAAAATGCACCGATTCCAAAAAAAAAGGAAATTCGGCCATGATCGCAGCAGCCAATCGCATTCTCCTGACTCTCGTTAAATGCACAGTGTTCGAAAATTGTAGGTAAATTTCATTGAATAAAATGTTGTGACATTTCCAAAAATTCCTTTCATGTTTCACATCCTCCTGGACTCACCTTTATTTTCAAGTAAAATGACTTTTAAAACAAGCCAAACCACAGTGTTTAGTGAGACTAGGATTACAAATTAAATGCAGTTTTAAAACTGTCGTTGGTTTATATCAAACAAAATAAGAAAAGCATAATCGCACGTAAGAGTACGCGGGGGGGGGGGGGGGTATTGAGCATTTACATTCCATGGCTCTGCAATTGTCAGGATACGAAACGGCAATTTTCAAATCGCATATATGTATCAATTTTGTTGGTGAGAAATGTATTGACAATGTAAGCAAAAGAACAAAACATGAAGAAGATTTTACTCGCTTATCACAAATTAATTACTTACTTAAAGTAACTTTGTAAGCTAAAAATTAATTATCATTGATGTAGACTTGGCTTTATTACTTTGTCTAAATTATCAAAGAAACGCATCACACTAGAAAATTCCAAACAATCCTTCCCATAGATTATAAGAGAAGATTTTCCCGTTGTATTCCCATAAAAAAGCAATATTTTTACAACTCGTTAGAACTGAATACTAAAAATTGAATTTTTTTAATATGCACGTAAATTCATACAAAATTCTAACGATGTGTTGAGAGAGCAATAACGAACCAAATCGTAAATTTTCAATTTTATATTATTGTCCACCTTTCAGGAATCTGATACAATATAAACAAACGTGTTCGCAATTACAACTTGTCGATTATAAATTACAATTTATACCTAATTCACATAGAAATACTAATTTGAGCGACCTTTTCGAATATCATATCATTAAAAAAATACAACACAGCGGCACCACACGCATTCTTAAATTCGGAAGCAAACGAACGGCCTGTGTCGTCCTCCTTTATCAAGTAATAAAGACGCGGAAATGAAGTACATAACAAATAAAATACACGTACGTAAGATAACGAACGGAAATAAATAAACGTGCCGAACTTTTAGCAATAGTCACTTCCGTTTTGACAAATCTAATTCTCCTTGACCGTTAGCAGACATGACTGCTGATAATGGTATAGTAATAAAATGAGGCGGTTGTCCTGAATTACCGTCACCTTGCGCTAAACTGAATATAACTCCTCCATTTGAAGGTGTTGCGTACATCATACCTTGTGGTGTTTGGTATACTAAGGGTGCGGACAATATTGGGGGCGGTTGAACTGTACTCGCAGGCTGCTGGGTTGATGATTTATTGGTGCTCGTAGTTAGGGTAGATGACGATGTGACTGATTGTGGTAACGATTTCGAAGTGTCTTGCTGGTGTAACGGACGAGGGGATGTTGGGCTCTTGGGCGGGTACGTTTGAGTGGTTGATGGAGGTACAAATTTTGATTCTGATCCTAGATCAGGAAGTTCATCTTCACTACTATCGCTTGATTCCTCTTGAGACATGTTATTTTCCTCCTGTAACAAATAAGATTATTAGACTATAGTTCAACGCTGTAGTCTCGTCGTTTTTTATTAACTAAGGATTTTTAGATCTAAAACTTAGATTACATAGATAGATAAACCTCTCGCCAGGAAAGATTGCCGGTCACAGAACACCTGATCCCGGTCTACAGTCTATGTTTTTCTAAGGATAAGGAACTTCAACATTGGCACGATCCTATTCCGGGAGTCGCTCGCATCTTAAGAAGAACATAGATTGTAGATCGACATGAGGTGTGCTGTGATCGGCAATCTTTCTTGGCGAGAGTAATAGCTATTTCCGCACAAATCTATCTTATACACTACATCCGGAAGTCATTGAGTTACATACGTCAATAAATATGTTTGGTGAATATGCAGTGACGCTTTGCGTATCACACCCACATATTTAGCTATTAAAGAATAGTTTAGAGAAATATACACATTGAATGAAATTTAATACTCAAGATTAGGGACACAATTGTTGAAAACATTTGTGTATGGTGGGCCGTGTGGATATTTATTATTCGATACAAACGAGCACAAATGAAGCACAAACGATTGGGATTACACCCGTCGTTTGTGTTTTAAGTTCATGCGTGAAGTTAGCTGAGCATTTTGAATGGTCAATAATTTTTGTATGGTTGGTTCTGCCGATACTTATTATAAGGCACCACAAACCAGCACAAACTATTAAACCTAAATCCATCGTTTGTGCTTTTCATGTCCTGCTCACTTCACGGACCCCAATTAGGTGTATGACATTTACATGAAACATGTTTAGAATTTTCTGGAGAATCCAAAAATGCAATAATATTCGGGTATTTCTATTTAAGGCAAAAATATTTTTTGTGCCATGCCATTCTGGGGAATCTTGTATACATTTTATGTCAAAATATGCGCAGTCCAAAAATACTATCAAGGTATTACCGAATACGCCTCCATTTAATTTTTTTAATTTATCCGTTATTAAATCACCCTTTATACTATACTTACACATTTTTGAAATTTCGCAAAAATTTAGTATCATTAACGGTGAAATATGAACGTGATGGTATTGTAATCTCGCTTATTGGAAACAAAAAATTGCATCGATTCCCCGTCACTTGTGATCTAAAACAAAAATACTTACAGTCCAAATATATGCATTTGGAATGAAAATCCTGTTTCCAATTTAACCATTAAGTAAATATCATCTGGAAACTACTCCGACTCATCTTGAAAATATTTAGCAAACAAGTAAAACACTCGAAATTATGCTTGAAAATGATATTAAAAGTTCAAATAAAAAGACGACTGAAAGAGAAAATACAGGATAGATTGTAAATTCCTTTCCCGATGTTGGCTTTACGCCAAAATTATGAAAGCAGAAATTTTGTTATATTAAAGAACTTCAGTTTACAGAAACAAATACAAGTACGTTGAAATCGCAAGCAATAAAACACTTAAAACGCAATAAACGTAATTAATTTAGAACCAATTATATCTAACCTGACGTTACGTTAATGCTACCTTGTATTTTTGCGACACAATATTATAAACGATCACAAAGAATTTTACATAATTAGACGACAATTAGAAACTATTGCCAGTCCAGTGCAATATTTCATCCTAAGTGATTTTTCCATGGCCAATCCTATTTCGTTTACGGATAATTATTTTAAATCGTAATTTAATTTAAATTCCTTAGATTTTTATAAAATTTATTGGAAAAGGAATTTATTGATAATGTAAAAACAGCAATTGTGCTAAATTCAACTGAAAAATGAAATTATGAATTTAAAGTACAATGGCACTCCTTTCGCAGACGGCACATGGAAGAGTGTAAAGAAACAATTCCAAGAGCGAAGCGGAATGCAAACAGGGAAATTTGTACAACCTTTGTAATTGTGGCTGCATTAGATTAGTGCCTTTTTTTTTTACAAAAGAAAGAAGGTCGAATTCCTGTTTGCTGCGTGTACAATTTCCATGATATAACGTAGTTTTTCTACGATCGCCACATTTGGTTTAAAGCCAGATGCGGTCTTCGGTGCAATAACGCTATAATAGGAAACAAAGCCACGCAGTCTGCGATTTTCCATTGGAATTGCTAAACCCGTCTTTGTCAAATTTGGTATTGCATGCGATGGCGGCACATACGTAAATCTGCAATCTAAGCGCACTGAGACTACTAATTATATAAATTAATTGTTATTGTCCTTATTTATTGTAAAGTATTCTTGACTTTCAGTATTTATTGTTCCTGGAATTGTAATAATGTATACGAGAATGCGTAAAAGATAATGATTCACTCAAAATTGATACAAGTGGAAGTCCGTTTGTGTAAAATTCTCCGACGGTCTTCCCATGTCATTCGTGACAAGCCACGCCAAAAGGATCTACAAAAGTGGTGATTATTAAACCAAGAAAACAGTGCTTTAATGCCCCAGCATTTTCGAAATAAAAAAAGCAAGCATAATTAACACATTTTTAAGTGAATCCGTTGGGGACAAATCATTAATCTTCTTCTAATATTAATTAGCTATTCTTACAAAGAAGTGTTACGAATCATACTACCAACATCACGCCAAAGTCCCATTGACGCCGGGAGACCTACACAATAATAATGGTATGGGTGGAAATTCGCAAGCAGTTCGTTACTCTGCATGGGTTGGTACAGGTAATCGAATGCAAATTTGTGACATCATTTTGCCACCATACTGGAAACGTTTTTAACTTTAAGCACGTAGACCTACACAAGTGAGTCAAGTTACCTATCACCAACGGAGACGTTTGTATTGCATCTGGATAGAAAAAATATAAATGGGCTAAACTTTCGACGCGAAAGGTATATAATTATAGATAATGCAGAATAGAACACGGAAACATTTTCTCAGTCTATGGTAGTAATACCGGGTGTCGACTTAAAATGGCTAGTTCAGTTCAAAAATTCTTTATCCGACAGTTAATTTCCATGGTAATATTCTAATTATTCGACACCTTCTTGATACTATATAATATACTATACAACAGCGTGACGACCATTTCACGGCAAGAGCCAGTTAATTGTATATTTTTGGAGCACAAAGATTGCTTAATATATTCATAAACTGTTTCAAACCAATATAGACAACAAGTGTTTGTACACAGACATGGACAGAAAGTTCAAATGACCAAAATTTAATCAGTTAGTCCCTTGACCATTCTCTACCTCGAGGTCTACCTATTACTGAAAACAGAATTGAAACATTCAAAATCGTTCGCCAATTACCAAGTACACAGACGGACGGACAGAAAGTTCAAAATCATGGACGAATTGGGTCGCTCGTTAATCGACCTCTAAAGCGGATCTAAAAAAGCGGCGGAGCATGACCTCGGTGTGCAAAGTTTGAACCGAATCAGTCCAAAGATAGACCAACGGACGTACACCATCAACTCCCCTATTGCATCGCTTTGCTCTACCGCTTAATAATACAACTGAAATGGTTACGGTTAAAGCTAGACAAAAATTTATTCTAATATCAAACATACATGTCATTAAGAATATGTTATTTTGTTATTTCTTTCTAAACATGGGGATCAACTTTCATTTTTTATCAATAATTTCTACGATTAACATTCGACATATTTAACATTTACAGGAAGAATGAAATTGTCATACTTTAATAATTTTGAAAGTGGGATTACCACTACAGTAGACATGTAAATTTTTATTGCCAACAGTTTAAGAGAACGGTAAAAGACACAGGTGATTGACAACGAGATTGACAACGACCTTAACTTTGAATTAGACAACTCAAGTTCCAAATCCAAAAAACAGTTCCTCCAAACGTTTACAACCCACGAAGTAGGGCTCGACAAAGTAAAAAAAGCGACTTTTTTAAAACCGAAATAGCTTTTGTTTTGACATCAGCAATGGATATACATATTTCTTGCAGACGTTTCAATCGCCCTTTGTGAGTACCCTCTTCCGACAATCCGTTCTTGAGGTATAAGGGATATACTCGATCACGATAAGAGGTGGAGGAGGGTTATTGTTGGTAGAAATTAATTCCTTTCATTGAGACGTTTCATTAGAGTACCACTAGTTCCACTCCCCCCCCCCCCCCCTCGCTGGGACTAGTTTTATCCTCATGGTACTCTAATGAAAGGTCTCAACGAAGGAATTAATTTCTACCAACCATAGCCCTCCTCCTCGACCTCTTATCGTGATCGGGTATATTTCCTTATACCTCAACAACGGATTGTCGGAAGAGGGTACTCACAAAGGGCGATTGAGACGTCTGCAAGAAATATATCCATTGGTGATCTCAAAACAAAAGCTATTTCGGTTTAAAAAAATGCGCTTTATCTGTACAAGAGTTGTGCACAATTTATACTTGTTTATTATTAAGTTTATTATGGCGACTGAGGGTTCTTTTTGGTTTTCCGTGTTTTGCCACTATAATTTACAGAAAAAAATGTACCAAATTCTTGACAAAACAGCTTCTTATCTCAAACCAAATAGCGCTTTTAGAAGAGTGTCTACAAAAAATAATAAGTGTATGCAATAAACTTTTCCTACGCAAGTTTATTATTTTCCGATGTAGAATATGAAATAGGTTTCTATTTGAAAATTCCCCCCCTCGGCTACTCCCTAAATTCGTACTTAAACCCGAGGTTAAACCCCTATAAATCATCCCTGAAACTGATATCTATTCTAGGCAAAAATGCTTGCTTCACGGTGGTAAAGATATAACCCACTATTTTATTTTCCTTTGTTCCAAATTCCATTGTTATATTCGGCCAAAAACAAAGTTTGCCCCTTATAATTTTAATTAGTTCTCGATAGTCGATAATTTTTTATAATACGTTCTCTCGTAAATACCTCAAGTTCCACGTTGTTGTGTTGCGACTTCGCGCGCTTTTTTTTACTTTTGTTTGTGTTTATTACTATCTAATAATTCATTTATTGTCTAAACTTGTCGAAAACTTCGCTTGTTATATAAAAAAATGTATCTTATTAAAACAGTTGTAGA